TCTAAAAGTTCGAATTATTGTTATTTAACGCCGCTATACAAGGTATAAATGAAAGTTACAACAGTTGGGTAAGTAGATTATGTATTTTAAAAAATGAGTGTTTGCTAGACGATAGTAGAGTTATAGTAAAAGTAAAAATTTTGTCAATCAGCAAAAATATTAGGCTGAAAATTACGTTAAAAGAAAACATTAGCAGAAGTTCTTACTTTAAGAGATGATTATGAGGAATTAGAATTTAAAAAAAATATAATTGCAAAAGTTGAAAATATTTCTTTAGACGAAAAAACAGAGGATGAAACAACCTGAAACATTTAGAAAGGCAAAGAGGTAGGAAAACAGAAGAAAAAAACAGATGGTTAGATATGGAGACCACAACGAAAGATAAAATTTACAATCTAATTATGGAAACAGACAACGATGGACAACAAGGTGCAATATGACTTTCAAAGAAATAATTATCAAGGAAATAATTACAACCACAGATATCAGAATTATAATGCGAGTTATTAAAACAACGTCAGGGCGAACTACCCAGGATCGTACAATAATTTTTCAAGATTTACTAATAGAACTAGTTATAATAACAATAACTATAATAACCATAGATTTAATAATGATTATAATTACAGATATAACAGACAATATAATGATTCAAGATTTATACAGAGACATAACAATAATCATAATTTTGGAAATCAAGGAAGAAATCAAGTATGAAATTGTAGATATCAAACGATAATAATCAATCACGATACTCAAACAAAGTGAACACCGTAAATATAGAAGAGATAAAAGAAGATAATAATGATAAGTTAGAGAAAAAGGAATATAATTTATATAATTTGGACATAAACAATATGGATGCCGATAATACACAGCTAATGCTGCATATAAAGTTACAGTATATTTGAATGATGTGCCAACATTAATGCAAAAAGACACAGGATCAAGATTCACCATTCTACCAATTCATATTGCAAGATTGGAATTTTTTTTTTCCTTTTAGCTTTCACCTTTTCTGGTGGTAAGCTCCTTTAATCTCTCTCCACTTTATTACTCATACTATCTATTTTTATATTTCTGATCGATTCCATTTGGATCTCCCATCGGAATATCGCTATCGAGGCCATTGTATCTTGGTGAAGTATCAATATCGACAGATATCCCACCGGAGTATTTTTATCGATTTTGTAAACTTGATCTCCCACACCGGAGTATCAACCGATGGATCTCCCACCGGAGTATCATTATCAAGTCCATTGTAACTTGGATACATTGTGCTTGAAAGGCCCTCGAGGTCACCATTATTCTAGCGCTGGCAAAGAGATCGTTATCATCCTTGAATGACCCACGGGTTCAGCTGGTCATCTTATTTGGTTTATTGGACAAGTATTCTAGCACCAGACTGTCCAAACCTGTCGGTGACCGGGGTGACATTTCTCAGCTCAAAAAATCCTCTTATCATATGTCTGTACACATCCGTCGAAGAAAAACCTAAAACTTTTAGTTCCTTTCCAGGATTGAACCAGGGACCTTCGGTTTACAAGCATACATCATACCCCACTAGGCCACCTGCGATATATTGCAAGATATAAATAAAAATCTTTAATAAATCGGATACAAAATTAATTGGATACGATGGGAAAATGATAAAAGTATTAGGTACTGTCCAAGTCAAAGCAAAATTTGAGGACAAAACCCAAATCTTAAATGCTTATGTAGTCCAAAGTGACAAGATTGCACTTCTGGGAAAGACCTGGATAACAGTTTTTGGAAATATACTAGATAAATTTGTGAATCTAATAGAGGAAGATTATGATGTTACTATACAAGAATTAATTAAGCAATGCAATGTAAAACTTAACAAAAGACAATACTTTGCAGCTATGTCAAACTAGATTTAAAACAAAAGACAATACTTAGCAGCTATGTCAAACTAGATTTAAAACAAGATGCAACACCGAAAATTATACCACCAAGTCGTGTACCATATTCAAGAATTTATTTAATAACAAAAGAACTTAAAAAATGGATAAACGACAAAATTATTGAACCTGTTCAAGATGTTAGATGGGCTAGTCATCTCACTCCCTTTCTTAAGAGTAATGGTTCACTTCGGCTCTGCGCTGACTTCAAAAATACTATAAACTCTGCTTTAGAAGATTTTAAATACCCAATACCACGCATCAATGATCTAATTGCAAAATTATCAAAAGGTAAGAAATTTATAAAAATTGATTTCAAAAACGCACTTCTTCAAGAACCAATAATTTACTCACAATATCAACACACAAGAGTTATTACAAGTTTACAAGACTTCCTTTTGTATTAAAAACTTCGTCAGCTATATTTCAACAAACCATGGATAACATTTTCGGGGACATGAAAGATGTTATATTTTATATGGATGATCTACTGATAATTGAACAACATAAAAAAAGTATTTGAGAAGATATTAAAACATGGACTTACACCAAATTTTACCAAAAGTGTATTTTTTTAAAAAAAACTTCGATTCTTGGGGCACGACTTCGACGACAAAGGCATACATCCAAATGGAGACAAGATTAAAGCTATTTCAAACATTCTGGAACTGAAAACAAAAAGGAATTGGCAACATTTTTGAGCATAGCGAGTTATTATCAAAATATTTTATGTAATTTTGCGGACATATCTGATCCCTTATACAAAATAGTTAATAAAGACAAGTGGTTATGGGATAGTACACATCAAGAAAGCTTCGATGACCTAAAAAAACTGATAAGTACTCCGCCTACGTTAAATTTTTCACTAGGCATTGCAACTGATGCTTCAAAGAAAGGTCTAGGCACAGTTTTATTTTATATTGAGGGTGATGGTAAAGAGAACCCCATTGCTTTCGCTTCAAGAGCATTATTAAAATCAGAGTTAAACTATACAAATATTGAAAGAGAAGCTTTATCTGTTATATATGCTGCAAAAATATTTCAAAAATATTTAATTGGTACGAGATTTACAATAATCACAGATCACACACTCGTTTATATATTTACGAAGGGACTCAAGGACAATTCTTAAATATCAATGCGACTTCGAAAATGGAATTTGACGATAAGAGCTCACGATGTTACAATAATCCATAGATCTGGAAAACGAAATATAGTACCAGATTGTTTGTCGAGATTACCACAGACGTATACAGAAGAGATGATAAAACATAGATTGTGAAAAATTTGATAATAATTGATGGGACATAACAGTAAATTTCAAAAGAATAATGAAAAACAGGATCTTGACAAAGAATTGATGGAAATCATCGACAACATTAGAAATAGTGAAGCGATAAAGAACAAAACTTATAAAAACATGGAAATGGAATTAAGCCTGGTAAAAGATTGTCTTTTTAAGGAAGGATTATACCCGAAATATGAAAAATGAGATGTTACAAGAGTTACATAAAAACATCTAGGCGCTGGTAAAACCAAACTGTTAGCAAAAGATTACTTATGGTGGCCTGGTATAAACGCAGAAATAGATCAGGAAGTAAAAAATTGTGATTCATGTAATAAATATACAAATAATCCACACAATCTACAAAACCCATAAGGTTCAGCAACAATTTGAACACGTACACATAGATTTTGCTCAATTTGAAGAAAATGATTGGATGATATTCGTAGACGCATATAGCAAGTTCCCTATAATCAAAAGAATGAGAAACATAACAACAGAATCAACAATTAAAGAATTGATGAAAGTAATCAGTTTATTTGGAATACCAGAAAAGATAGTAACTGATAATCTAACTTCACTAGCCACCTGTTCAAGAAGTTTTGTGAAGATCATAAAATTAAACATATACTCCACGCTCCTCATCACCATCAATCTAATATTCAATGTGAACGTATGAGCATGGAAAGTAACAAGAAAATAGACTTAGATACAGCTTTAAAAAAAATTCTTGTTTAATTATCGAAACACTCCGAACGCCACAACCAATGATACCAAGCAAATAGATGTTTTCAAGAATAATAAGAACCAGATGGGATTTAATTAAACCACTAGAAGATAAAGTGAATGAATTAAATCGGAATATATCATCATATAGAAATATCGTGATGGGTGACAAAGTTTGGTATAAAACTTTGAAGGAAAACATTTGGGACAAAGGTAACAGTAACACGTAAAGATGGGAATTTATCATATGAAATAGATACTGGAAACAAAATTATAAAAAAACATTTAGACCAGATTAAAAAAAGATCAACGATTATTATACCTCTTAATAATGGTACAACAGATTTGAAAATAAATATTAATAATTCAATACCTTATACTTTAATTTTAGAAGGAGAAGAAGTAATGATGAACCAGTACGAAATCAAAGTATACAAGTTCAAGATCAGAGCCACAACAGTCAAAGACCAATCAGAAATATAATATTGACTCGAAAATTTCATAATGAATATAAAAAAAGATTTTTTTAAAAAATAAATTTTTTATAAAGAATTTTTAAATTTAAAATAAACTTTCAATAGCTTATACTATATAAACAAGAATTTTTTTGTGTTGATGAAAACTAATGAAATATACTTGTGATGGCTAACGATAACAAACAAGATCAATAAAGGATAAACGAGCAACAAATGTCGAAGAAACCTGTAAGCAAGACAAACGATAAGATGATAGACAGAGGGCAAAAACTAAAAAAAAAGAAGAGTGAAATGTTAAGAAATCGTTTAAATTGTTATTTTTTTTCTTTTAAATTATAAGTTTTTTTTTGTTTTGTTAATGGCCTTCAACTATACAAATTCTAAATGTTAATGACATTCAAAAACAATTATACAAGTTACAATTTACTTCGAATTTTTTTTTACCTTCGGTAATAATTTAAATTAAATATTTTATTATATAAACAACGAATTTTTTTGTATTTTCAGTTTAAAAAAATTTAATTCCTTGATTCTCAAAAAGCATAATTTATTTTAAATTTTAAAGATTACTCTAAATATTAAGTAAACTCGAATGATGTTAAGTATATATTCTGTCAAACTTAACCAAATAATTCGAAATTAAAAATTGTTAAAAGTCAATATTTTGTTTTTAACAAAAGAAATTTATTTTATGCCTATATAGTAAAAAAAGGGGGGGGGGGAGGCTAAGATAGGCCATTGCTATCTAAAACAAATTCTGATTATTAATGTATATAAGAAGGTATTATTATACAGATTTAAATAATAAATAAAATATTAATTGTTCTTATAGTTTCAATTTCAAATAACAACATAATATTTATAACAATAAAATATATACACATAGGCAAAATAAAATATTCCTGATTGTTTTTTTAATGGTTTCAATTAACAAACAATATATATAATTTTTAAAAAAGTAAGATTTTCAATCTTCCAATCCTTGCTTTGCAGCTAGATCCTATACATGATTATATATTTTTTTCAAATAAAAATATTATATTATACATATTCGATTTATAAAATTATCATTTGAGGAACCAGAACCAATTTATTAAAATTTTTAGGAACCAGAAATCAAATTTGTGAACTGAGAGGCCTTTCAAAATTTTAGGAACAAGAAACCCTTCTTTGTTTAGATTCCAAATTCTGTTATGTTTTATATTTTATTTATTTAAAAATATTTTGTATATAGACATTAGAGTTGTCAAAGTATCGAAAAGATAACTTTTAAAAGATGTATCTAGGCATAGATACAATTTTAAAAATGTATTTAGAAATAGATACAAAATTATAATTTATATATAGGGTTAGTTGTTGTCAGAAACTCTGATTATGAGAGAACAAAATACGTAAACAACATTTTAATATTTTGTTTTCATTCAATTCGAACACCATATAAAAAAATGCCAATACCCTATTTTTATCATTCTTTTGAATAAATTATAATTTAAAACTAGCATTTATTATAAAAAAAATTTTTAACATTAAACTTATTAATTAAGAGTTAGCGGAATATATATAAATTAAAAAATTCTAAATAAATTTATTTGCTTAAAAAAATTTTGTGCATCAATGGTATTGTTTTTAAAAATTATTTGACGTCATGGATAAGCAAGTATTAATAAAAAAATGATATTTAACGAATATTTACAGAGTTGTTAAGGAGCGGCGCTACATTTTTTCAAAAACACCTGGAGTGCCCCTCCTTTTTAAAATTGGGGAGACGAGTACTGGGCCAAAAGTTATTACACTTTAAATATAAGTAGTATGGCTTAAATCCTATATTATACCAAATATAGAGTAATTATTTTTTTTTAAAGTGGGCAATATATGTGAATAATAGCATTAAAACTAAAATCCTAAAAAATCTAATTATTTTACATTTATTAAATGTTAAAAAACTCAAAACAACATTTACCAAATTGTATTGTATTATTTTAAATATAACGCATAAAACCAAGTAGAATAATTCCGAATGAATAATTTTATATCAATGAAAGTTAATGGAAAAAAGAACCAAGTGCAAAAAAGATTAGTTTTATGTAATATAAAAGAATTATTTACCCATTTTAAAGAAATAAATAGTAATATAAAGATAGGTTTTAGCAAGTTTGCTATCATGAGACCAAAAAACTGTATTTTAACAGGCGGGTCTGGAACGCATACAATGTGCATCTGCACATTTCATCAAAATTTTAAGTTTATAATTGGTGGTAAATTAGATAAGTGCAAACCAGCATAACTTTCCATTTCCTGCCTTAAAAGATTATAAACACTACATTACACAAAGTCTATGCAATCCAGCCCAGCCTTGCTGTTACTTAAGGAAATGCCAATGTGTCCCGGCACTTTTGAACTTAAAGAAAGACTACACTTATTGTTTGATAATAATGCCATAGATTATATAACATTTAAACAATGGTTGGCAGCTGACCGTACTACACTCGAAACTTTTACAAAGTCCGCCAAGGAATTTGTGGAGTATTTGATTTAAAAATTAAATATTTTAATACCTCATGCATTTATTTATTCGGAACAATCTTCATTTTTTAAGTCATTAAAATAGAATTTGAAGGATGGGGAATATCTTAAAATATCCGATTTTTTTTTAATTTTTTGGAAAATCTTATAAGTCATATTAATATTCGTTTTATAGATATATAATAAAAAATAGTTTTAGATATTATGGATTTAGATATCATAGATGAAGAAATCGAATTTCCATTTCCATCATACAAAAAATATTTTAAACTTCTAAAAGATGTTGATCCAAATGATCAAACAAATTACGAGCAAAATGTCTTTTGTGTTTAAATAAAACTATTTAATTTTCAAAAGTGAGCAGCTTTAATCTAAAAAAGCATCTAAAAGTAAAAAATCTTTCTTTTAAATACAAATTAATTTGAAAGATTTTTTTTGGATTCCATGAAATTGATCATCAGGAAGATAATATATTGGACAAATATTTTTTTAAATAATGATACCAAAATTACTATTTTTGATAAATTCGAATTAAAAAATATCTTTATAAAATACAATACCCTGATTCCCTCTAGTGCTTTTGTGGAGTGCCTATTTAGTATTGCAAAACAGGTCTTAGGGGAGAGGCGTGGATATTTGTTAGTCTAATTTAGAAAATTTATTACTTTTAAAAGCTAATAAAAGGTTATAAATATTTTGATAGTTCATTTAATATAAATAAAGCTTTTTGATAATAAAAATATGATTTTATTTCGTATAACTTCTAAAAAAATTAAAAATCAAAGGAGCGGTTATGGAGTGGCACTCCATTACTTGGAGCGGGAGCTAGCTCTTTTAAAAATGTAGTAGCGGGAGCGGGAGCTAGCTCCTTTTGAGAAGGTAGAAGCGGGAGCTAGCTACTTTTAAAAAGGAGCGTTAACAACTTTGAATATATATATTGTATTCCATATTAAATCAACCAAAAAAGTCGATTCTCAACCTGACCCCCTTCGATTTTTTTAAAGATTTACCTGTTGGTAGTATATACACTAACTAATAAAAATGTAAAATTTTACTTTTCAAATCGCCTTACTTCATGAGCAGGGTTGCCATGTCTCCCCCTATCAGCGGGAGACTCCCGCAATTTTTTTTAGTTTACACGCAGACATCTCTCTCCCGCAAAACTACCGCAATTGAAAATCTCCCGCAAAAATCTATTGCAATTTTTTAATTTCTCCCGCAATTTTTTTAAAAGTATTTTAACATTTTTAAAATATAAATAATAATTTTGAGACAGTAATTGATTATTTTTATATTTTTAAAATAAATTTTGAATATTTATTTGAAAAACATGTCTAGTTTATAAATTTCTTTCTATCCTGTTTTATTTTTATCCAATAATAAATCATCATTTCATTCATATAAGTCAGTACAGGGGAGTATATCAACATCGATTGCAATACATAAATATTGTCCAAAAATAATAAAGATGCAACTACAGTTGCGGAAATCGTATACAACTATCTTGTAGTTCAACATTCACAGAGCTATATCATCACAATGTGGGACGAATCTTTCCCATGATATTTAAAGACTCCAATATAAGTGCAAATCTTACTTGTGGTAGAATAAAAATGAGCAAGGCTATCACAAGTGTTTTAGTACCTGAATCCTAGAATTCAATTCTAGACGATTTGAAAGATTGGCATCCATATGCAATTCTAGCAGATGCAACTAATAAGGGAAATATTAAAACATTTCCCTTGATCCTTCACTATTTCAATAAGAATAAGAACATTTCAATAAAACTGTTAAAAAATTTTCCGTAGCTAACCACACAATGGTAAATATAGCTAATTCAGGCTTATCAATGATTTGCATGTCAGCTTTTTGCACTAATAATGCCTCTGTAAATTTTGGCAAAAACCAAAGTGTATTTACCGAATTGAGGGAGAACAATAATGAATTAATTCCAATTGGCTGTATATGCCATATACTACATAATTCTTGCAAGAAGGCAATGAAATGAATGTACTATCTGTAGATGTCGAAATAATTGTGATGAAATGTTTTAACGAATTTAATTCATCAACTAAAAGAGTTAATGAAATAAAATAGTTAGTGGAGTAGTCTGACTTGGAATGGTGTGAGTTGTTGCGATATTTACCTATCAGGTGGTTATCATTAATATCTGCCATCGATAGAATTTTAAAATCATACAAACCCTAAAAATACTTCTTAAATTAAAATTTTAAAAGGTGTCCAAAAATTTTGAAAAATTTTTTCGAGTATGAAATGGCAGAAGCATATTTGGGATTAGTTTCACATGTAGGAAATCTACTTCATGCAGTTAATATTCTGTTGCAATCAGAATATTTTTTATTAATAAAGGTTCGCAAAATCATGCTAGCTCTGTTCATCTCTACAGTTAAAAATTGATAATAAATTTTATGGCGCTATTATTAAAAATATTATATTAAAATGTTCAAATATTAATACATTTTTAAATGAAGCAGATATTTTTATCAAGACAATTTTAGAATATTTACAATCAAAATATGATTTTAATAACTTTATTTACAAATGTATAAATATTATGACCTTGGAACAGAAACCATCAATTGAGGTTTTTGTAATTTAATAAATATATTGAAAATACCGAAAGACATTGATGTCTTGTTTGAGGATATTGTAATTCTCTCTATTTTTTATGATTCGCCAGAATACTTAAAGTTAGATGGTCTAAAAGCTGAGGAGAAATGGGTAGAATTTTTTTGTAATAACAATAAATCCCCATGATTGGAAAAAAATGCGACTATGTCTTCTCCTTACCTCATTCTAATGCCTCATCCGAGCGCATTTTTAGCCTGATGAGGACTGCCTGGAAAAAGGAGAGAAATTGGATGCTTTAACAACATTAAAGGCCTAGCTAATGGTTAAACAAATTTATAATATGTCATGCCAGGATATAAATATCTCAAAAACGACGGTAAAAGTTATGTTCCATTATTTAAATCTCAAATAAAATATAATTAAAATTATAACTATTTAATTTTCCATATTTTTTTTATATTTTATAAAATCTTATTTATACATAAAAATAAATAAAAAATAGAGAGCATTACAATTTCCTCAAACAAGACATCAATGTCTATCGGTATTTTTAAAATATTTGAACATTTTAATATAGTTTTAGCAATGGCGTCATAAAATTTATTGTCAATTTTTAACTGTAAAGATGAACACATCTGCAGCATAATTTTGTGAATTATTGTTAAGATTCTTCTGATTGCAACTGCACATTAACAGCATGTAGTAGATTTCTTATATGTGAAATCATTCCTAAATATACCTCTGCCATTCATTATTGAAAAAATTTTCAAAATGTTAGAACAATTTTTATAATCTATATTTAAGAAATATTTTTTTAAAGGTTATAAAATTTTATAATTCTATCGATGGCGGATATTAGGAACAAATCGCAACCAACATTGTGCT